TTATGATGGAATTAGTTAATCGAAAGCAGAAGACAAAACCTCAGTCCACTTAATGTATGATCTGTTCGCTTAGAACCATAACTCCCAAGTATGATATGTTCGCTTAGAACCACATATGAAAAAACATTCAAGTGACGAAGAACCAAAAATGAAATCCACAACATATTGGAACAATTTTAATTCATCCAATGTCAAATTAAGGAAAAACAAAATAACAAATGTATTGGAACAGTTAGTAAATAAACTTAAATTTGGGAAGAATTTGCAATCATTGTGATGTGTAAAGTATATAGATGATTATGTTTTACATGCAGATTATTTACTCTTTATCTTTAATGTAGTAGAAAGATAGCTAATTTTATTTTAGCACTTCTAAGTATGGATATCTTAAATTACCCAAGTTATAACATTCAATATCTAAAAATTGAACACGATTTTCTCTTTATTATTCTTTTCTTGCAGAGAAACAAAAAGCCAAAACCAATAAGAATGTGAACGTTTGAGAATTTTAACAAAGTATTGTGACCATTGAATAAATTTACTCGCCCAGAAACATGAAACCAAAAACCCAATAAGAACATGAAAATGAGAGAGCAATTTGAGGATTACAAATACACGTAACACAGAATATAATACCTTCCTTTTAAGGCCCTGTAATCTGGATACAAGAGAATTGAGTTGGAGAACAGCGTCGTCCCGGGAGAGATCGGAATCCGCAGCCTCAGATACACCGGAGATGATGGCTGATACCTCTTTCTCGACGACAAGATGGTTGGCGCGGATCATCTTCTTGTAGTGCTCGAAGTGAACTCGGAGGAACTGATGTTCCAATTTCAAGGACTCTGCCAGTTGGCAAATCTTTGACGATGGAATTGTGGTGGTGGCAGCTCCGAATCCTGCGGCAGGAGCAGCGACACCAGCGGTGGAGTTGCCGTTGGGGAGTTGCGGGTCAGATTCCATTGATGATGACGTCTCTCTTTATTATTCTATTGAAACAGTGGACATAGATCGGGAAAGGCAGAACGAAAAATTTGGGAAGAATTTGCAATGATGAAGTATTGGAAGATAATATTGAGATGAGCCTTCAATTGAGCTTTTGATTCTTCAATCTGATGAAATATTGGAAGAGGAAGACAGAGCAAACCGTGGAGAACTGCTCCGGAATGAACGTTGCGGGTGGGGGAGAGACAGAGTGAGAGGAAATAAGAGAGGAAGCTTGTTTTTTAACTTGGGGGCGTTTTCCGTGTTTTGAGTATGTTTTGCCTGAAAACAGTGAAAACGGGTTTTTCACCATTTTCCATTTTCAGTACAATTTTTTTTTTGTTTTCAAAAACGCATTTTCGAAAACATGAAAGATAACGCATTTTCGTTGTTTTCAAAAATCGAAAACAGAAAACGGTTTGAAAACAATAAAGAAAACATGCCCTAAGTATTTGAAACAAACTCAATTCAAGCCATATATTTATTAAAATATAAAGACTCAATACAAAATCTCAATAGAGCCTTACTCATCTATTGATGCTTTTTTGCGTCTTGCTCAACTTGGAGACATTACACACAATGAGACAACATTGCAAACATAACAAAAGAAATCATCAAAAAGAACATTTATTTTGGAAAGTTCATAAAACATCGTTGAAGTACGACTAGCTTAACTCATTGCTAAAGTCCAAATTTTGGACTTCGGTCAATTATGAGTAATTGCATCATCGACAAAATTGTTGTTCTTAATTAAAAATAACGAAGACATTAGATAATTATAAAAGGTAATCTGAATCATAGACAAATATCGAAATATCAAAATCAACTACACTAATCCACCTCAAAATAGTTTGTGTTGCCAATGTCATTGATTTTCTTTGTTTGATCTAACAAACAAAAAACATAAAAATTCCCGATCTAACAACTGACTTAAAATCAACCCAATAGGACCTTCCCCCACCCCACCCCAAAACACTGAACAGGACCAAACATGTCCTTAGACCTTAGTAAAAGACGACGTACCCGCGCACGTATGTACTACCCCGAGAGCATGTTCGGAAAGCCTAAGCCTATGAGACTTAAGTTCGTGTTTGGCTAGGATTTTGTTCTCCAATTTAGACAGACAAGCCATAGGCCGCGAACGCTTTGGGTGAGGAAGAAAAACACTCGATCTCAACTTCTTCAAACCCAGGTCGATTTCTCTTTCTTTCTTGCTCTAATTTTCATTATAATTCAATTTAATTTCTCGGTTCTTTAATTCCCCTAGAAATCTCAACTGGGTTCTGATTATTTATCTGAATTTTTATTTTTTTACGTAGTTCTTTCTCTACTCTTGCCCAATTGGAATTCGAGGGTTTTGTTTTTCATTCTTATGGCATCGGTTGATTTCTAGAGTTAAAATGAACTTGATGTAAAGTTTGTTATACTGCACGTTGTTTTTTGATGATTTAATTGTGCAAAAATTAAAGTTTTTATTGGTTACAATTGAGGTTTGTTAACAATAAAAAATAGATTTTGTTAATTATTTACTTTGAAATAATGATGTCAAATTATATCTGGGCTTATCGGTATCCCAGTTTTGTTCCTTTCTATATTGGAAATGAATGATAAATTATGATTATTGTTCATCTTCATTGGCATAATTATCTGTACGAGACCAATTTTTCCCTTGAGGGATTTTTTTATATGAAATTTGGTGTTTTTGTTTATTTTGGGATTTAGTATTGATTGGGATCTGGCTTTTTGGATGTTAAGCAGGTTAATTAAAATGGTAGCAAAACATCATTTTACGCGGGTGGATACGATGGAGCTGAAAAATCTTATTTATCAGAATATTGGGCATGCAAGAGCAGAAAAATACTTCGATCAGCTTAAAAGATTTTTCAGTTTAAAGCTTAGCAAGGCCGAGTTTGATCAGAGCTGCATACAAACAATTGGAAGAGAGAATGTATCTCTTCATAACCGGCTTATTCAATCCATTCTCCAGAATGCATGCCAGGCCAAAGTTCCCCCATCAAAAGCTAGGAAAGTTAAAGGACCCCTCGGGGTTAAAGTTGCAAATGGTTACCAAAGAAATTGTATGCAATCACTCTATGGTGATGCATTCCCCCCATCTCCTCGCAGGCATAGGTCTCCTGTCAACAGGGATCATCGTAAGTTTTGGGATCGTCCGAGTCCACTTGGACCGCTAGGCAAGAGCCCTAGTATCACATTTGAAGAAACTAGTCCAAGAATACAAGAACAACAAAGTGGAGCAGAACTGAGCTCTCTCGGTAGCAGACCACCCATTGAAGTTGCTCCCGTTGAAGATGGAGAAGAGGTTGAACAGTTTGCTGGAAGCCTAGGTATTAAAAGTCGGACCCCTATTACCGCTCCATTTGGTGTTTCAATAAACATGGGTGGTGCTCGTAAAGCTCTTCACCGAGGTTTCATGTTTAATACTTGTCAAAACAGTGGCGAGTTACCTGATATGAGAACATTGAGGAGTTGTTTGGAGCAAAAGTTGGAGGTGGAGGGTGTTGGAATTTCGTTGGAGTGCGCTAACCTGTTAAATAATAGTTTGGATGTGTATTTGAAGAGGTTAATTGAACCTTGTATAGAGCTTGCAAGATCACGGCGTAATCATGCCGGAGAGTTAAACGGTCAAATAAGTACTGGAGGGAGAGGGGCATTACCTGCAAGATACACACAAAGACCAAGGCCCTCGACGTATGTAAGTACGTCAGATTTTCGTGTTGCGATGGAGTCAGATCCTCGTGTTCTGGGGGAAAATTGGCCAGCACAACTTGACAAGATCTGCATTCTTTCCTTTGAGTAAACAGAATTGATAATGAGCAACTTTCCATTGGACAGGTTGCTAGACACAGCTCCTGAAATCCTCTTTTGAAGCAGTCATTTTCTGTTGTATATTGACCACCAATTATAAGTGGTACCCAGAAGCATCGCAAAAGAAGATGCAATCTGTTACTTCAGTTTTGAGTTTCTTAGGCTGGCTGCAGTTAGATGTTAGTAATTTTAGTTGCTAGGAAGGAAGAATGTTTATACAACCATTATTCATTTGATACTACTTAACGCCCCATAATCTCTAGATCCTGAGTATCATTCTTCGAGTTAAACATTCATGTAACAATCAGTTTCCGAATGAAATAAAGCATTCTTATTTTCAGTACTCGTCATCCCCTTTTTGTTGTCCTGAATGAGAATAGCTTCATGTTCATTATTCTTCTTCACGTGTAATACTTGTTCCCCCCCGCCCCCCCAACCACCAAAGGAGCACCATCGATGCCACAACCGATTAGCAGTGCAGAGTGGACAAGGATGCAACTCAAACGTCTGTTGCACATTTTACTGTTTGCCCCATCTTATAATTTCTTGATTTTCCATTTTGAAAATGGATTATATTAAATATTCAATTAAGCTATTTGTACCACTCTTGTTGACAATCTTGATGTTGTCAAAACCCAGACTGTTGATTTTAAAAAAAGGGATTTTAATGGTTTTTAAAATGAATGAATGTGATATTGTCAAGTGTGAAGTTGTCAACTAAGATTGTACCAAGTAGCACGATTCTTAAATATTTGTGTTGGCCGATGACTTGTTAATTCTCTCTTTTATGCAGGTTCGATGCTATCATATATTACTTCTAACCTGGGGAAGCACAAAGTAAAGTGGTGTTTTACAGTATGAAGTTTGACTGAAAGGTGTGTTCCACCTTTCCTGAACTTGTATTTTGTTGACACTATTAAATCGCTTGAAGCTGCAGCATGGAAAGTGAGGAAAATATAATGTCTGAAGAAAATATTTGCGGACGTGGTGCAGGAAAAACTGTCACATATTTCTAAGAACTCGAGTTAGCCGACCTTAAATTTAGTGAGAAAAACATTAGTCTGTTAATTGTATACGGAAGTGCAATCTTTCATAGAAAGACTAGTGTATTAAACATCGAAACTTTAACCATTGTCTAAACTATTAAACATTCGACTTTACAATATGACCAATTGCAAAGCTCACGTTTGCATTCGTATTGGTGCAAGGTTTTGTTTTCAAATTCTTGAGTATTGAGCGTAGTTGTAGTTTGTTTTTGCTTGTTATCCTTCGATTCATCATTTTACAATGCTGCCGTAACTTTTTTATATTTCTTATCATGAGTTGCGTATTTATCAATGCAGAAAATAAAATACAAACTTGAGGGAAATATAAAGCCTAATCTCAAGTCAATGAAATAAAACTCGAACAAGAGAAAGATGTTTTAACAAGTTACAACACTAAGTCCTCCATAAAGGGAAGACGTATTGATGTCGATATAGAGCTACTACAATTAAACAAAATACATCAAAATGATGAGAACTAACTAGAGTTACAAATAACCAGTCACCTAATAATGTATCTCTTGTAGCCATGACCTAGTAGTTTCTGCAAAGAACTTATCAACCGAGCTGGTGTGCCACGGAGGGTGATAGACCACACACATTGGGGGGGAGGGAAACATTTTTTTCATTTTTTATTTCACTTCAGTCCCACGTCGGTCCCACACCTCATGTGAGGTTAGGTCATCCAGGTGGGCAAAATCTTTCTGGCAAACCAGCTTTATTCAGAACTTATAGATCACAAAATTAACCATGTTGATGAAACTTGAAAGGGTACAAATCGTGCTTTTGAGAGTCCATTTAAGAAAGAGTGATGTTATTTAATACTATTGGTGTTACAATACAAGTCAGGTGGCACTAAATATCATTAAATGAAAGGTACAATTAAATGAATCATATATATTTTTTTCTCCTTTAATTGAACATATCATATAATGCCATATAGACTAGTGCTCTAGCACCATTGTTGCTAGATAATATTATTCTTTAAGAGATCCCATGTAATTGCCCACGTGGAACTATACAGCAGGAGAATTTATTGGGGAAGATATTGAGAAGATGCATTCAGAAGCTAACGTATGCTCACACCGTGCTAACTTTCTCTATGCTTGCCATGTATGTCATGTATACTACCAGTGGCTGCCATAACAAAAGCACAAATTTCTTTAGTTTATCTTCTCATAAACTGTGCTTGAAATTAAAAACTCCCTTGGTTAAAAAGAGACTAAGAGGACAAGGGGATAATAATAATATTAATAATAATAATTGATTTGAAGCTAACAGATCTGTCTATTGCCAATCAGAAGCATTTTTCACTTCTAGTTCATTTCCCAAGAACAAGTTCATGAACTGAGAATTATTTCAGCAGTAATCTTATCAGACATAGGATCTCAACTGGAAATTAACAGGGATGAATTTGAATGTCACAAAATCGCATGGAGGCCAGTGCATAATACCACTAATTGGTAGGGACCAGATCACGCTTCTATCGAGCAACAATCTCAGAACCGCTTTCGCCTGAGCATGGCTACAAACTAAGTCATATACTACTGATACAGAGCAATTTCAGCTCATTATACAAAAGAAATCATCTATTCCTCAAAACAGTGAGGTTGGGTCCAAGCTCTTTTTCTATAAAATAAATCCCTGGTAATATCATAATATGATTTATGCTATGTGGTTTGCATACACATAAAACGTTTCCAATGCACATTACCAGATATTGGACACGTGTCATCATGGCATGCAACTAAAAATCATGTACCCGCTGCATCAGACAAACAGAGGAAAATATTTACCAACTGGTCAGCCTCCAAAAACAGTACTAGGCCAGTAACCTTTTAAAATTGAATTCTTATTTTATATTTTGGAAGTTGTGCAAGTATAAATGCATATGTTGTTGTGGTGTTCCTAAACTGAATTTTGTAAATTAAGCTTCTCATTTATGTTACTTCCATAAACATACATGTCTCTATCCTTTCCTACGTCTTTTGTAATCCACTTCTATTTTCTTAGATCATGAGCTTTATATTGCCATCCGCATCTCAATTTAGATGTTCTACTCAGAGTCTCAGACAAAAGGCTGCCATAAGTCTCTATGAGATAAATGAATAGGGCAGCTGCTGACCTAATATGATCTGTACATGATCAAAACTCAAGCCATAGAAAAAGAAGTCCAAAAATGAGGAAAAGAAAAAGTTCTATTACATCTTAATAAGTTATTACTTAGGCTTGAAGCACAGTTAGGTTCAAGCAAGTGCCTCAAGTAAAGAGCACAAAAGGAAAAAAAAGAGATTTTTGAAACTTTTTTCTTCCCTATGTAGCTACTAACGATTCAAGAATCTGACACCAAGTACATTAGTTCCAGGTAACCGTTGCACATATACACATAAGGGTTTCTTTCCTTTCCTTTATACTTGAGCATCAATGTATAAATGAAGATATATAAATAAATTTTACACTCAAGCCTCAAGAGTTACATGCACCTGAAACAAATATACCTTAACATGGTGGTGCAGAATATATCTCTCGTCTTTCATCCCTCATAAGGGAATTAAATTAAGCCTCTGATTCATGTTCAAAGATATTTATCTTTAACTCACACTCTCTCTCTCTCTCTCTCTCTCTCTGTGCATCATATAGTGTTGTAGAAGTGTGTAAACATTTGGAAGTTTGAGTTTTCTTTTTAATTTCTGCACGTGGTCAGCACCGGGCCAGCTTCTTGGAGCATCGGTTTTGGATGGACATGACAAGTATCTTCCTTGGTAGTGTCTATGCTCGCTACTTCTTCTCATCTTTACCATTTTCAAATACGTTAATCAATAAAATGGCTGGAAAGATAGAATAATGCTTGCTGAAAATCAAGGTTAGCTCATATTACAAACGTCAATATAATCAGTGGTAAATTCATGTATCAAAATTCCCAAATAGCGTCAAGTGCCTAGAAAAGCATAGAAATAACGTAAAAGCTTTGAGATTTACCTTGTAAAGCAGCATCAATGGAGAAGAAAATAGCAGCCATTGTAGGTCCATATACTGTTTGCCCCAAAGCCATCTTTTTAAACGTTGACAGAAGATCGCGTTTTGGAAAAACTCTTGACACAAAATTAAACCAATAGTGCAATGAAGGTCCTAATATTATCATCCCGTAACCAGCCATCTGCAATGTCCTCACGAAATCGTACCCTTCTGATGATTTTTCCACAGTACTCTACACAAACTTTGATAATAAGTAACCCATACATACGAGTTTATAATAAGGGAAAAATCTATACAGAGCTCGTCCTTACTTCTCACACAATATTTTGCATACCTTAATTCTCGAGTTCCATCTCAGCCTTAATAAGAGGACGAGGAATTTTCAGTTACTAGTACACCCGTCATCGTTTTCATATCTGAACTCTTGCTTTTAATGTGCATAGCAGTTTAATGGCTCATTTGAGAATGTGGTTGTTGAAAATGAACTAAAATTGTTCACTTGAGCTGTTTAGAGTCCTTCGATACCATATAAAGTTAAATCAAACAAGCCAAGGCTTAATCATTTTCATTTAAGCAATATGGAATTTTATCTTAACACGTACCTGAGGAGAAAAGTCAACCGCGGAGTAAATGAGGGCAGAGGAAATGTTTTTGGTGACAGTACTCACAGTAGGGCGGGACTTGATCACTCTCAAGTACCAGCGGACCAGTGAGTTAATTAAATAAGGGGTATTTTCGCGAATGTCCACAATTAAGGGTGTGAGTTGAAAAGTGTCAAATTTTCAAATTTAATACTAAAGTGTCTATTATGCCCTTAATGAAAAAAAATGCCATTTGAATCTCTATGTATTCTCGACATTTAAAATGTCATTCTCGACATTTGAATCCCGTTATATATTTCAATAATACACACATCAAATCACAATATTAAATATTCTCGACATTTCGAAACATCATTCTCGACATATTAAATGTCTAGATAGACATTTCATTCCAAACATGACATTTCTCTACACTTGAAATGTCGTTCTCGACATTTTTGTGTCAATACAAAAAATAGCATTAATTGTGATTTGATATCTTGTGATTTGCAATAAATGGAGCAGGTTATGTGTCAAGATTTCATCAGCCAATATATTTTTTTGCAAAAATGTCTATTTTATTGTCCTTGAATGGAATCATAAATTGTTGACCATGGGTATTTTAGTTTAAAATATACCAAAATGACCATTTTTGCAAGTGGCTGAGGAAAGTGGACATTTCTTACAATTTCCACTATATACTTAATTATACTCGAAAGATATTATTAAATAATTTAGAAGCATTAATGAACAAGAATTAATATACATTGTTATGGTATTGAATTATATTGAAATAGATTAATTAAGGGACATTCAAAATCCCAGTGTATATTTAACATTTTCTTACAAAAGCTTTCGTAGTTGCTCATTACAAAAAAAAAAAGTTTAATTAGATAAATTAATATACAATTGATAATCAAATATTGACTATTCAATAGAGTTAGCATTAATTAATTGTAGATTAAGTACAGTCTCTGTGTGATGATATCTTATTTATCATTATATTATTTATCTGCGACATCATGCACTTGCAAAATTCTGTACGATCAACGATGTTGAAACCCTAGCAGCAAAGCAATGGCTGAAAAACATTTAGGAGATCCAGCAAAGTGAACGACTTGCAAGGTCAAACCGAAAAAGCGATTATATCCACAACATTCATAAAGGCCTTTAATATTGTGACACGGACAACACCCATCAACGCTACAAGACTTAAACTAATTGTACATTGATTATGTACAACTAGTTTGACATTTAGATGATATGCAAACAATTTGGTCATTGAATTGAATAAATGTTATTCAAATCAATGGTCAAACTACTTCTCCCCTCATCTAATTTCAACGAAGTTGTCAACGAAACAGTACGTGTAGCAGGATCGATGTTACAAATATCGCTCGCAAACCCATGGTACATTTGAACTTAACTATTATGATATGTTTGTTGGCATGTGTGTCATAGACAAGAACACGTGTCCAGATGGTTCTTATCTGGTAAGTAATGGGGAGTGCTTCCAAGAACATCTACATTTCAACTCCATTTTTGATTGTCCACGATAATTAAAAAAAGATTAAACTAGTTGTATACACTTGGTATACATCAAATTTGACACTTCAAATGTTATCAAAATTGGTGTAATTGATTGTTTAAAGTGTTATAAAAATCAATGTCTAAAAAATGTCAAACTTAATATAAAATTTAGTGTACATGTAACTTGATTGTATTAAAAATCAATCACAACACACACACTTTTTCAAAAATCAATTTTAACATTGTTGTTGCCAATTCTTAAAGCATTAAATTAATGTTAAACCATCTCAACTAAATATTTAAGCGGTTACGGGAGGATAAATTCATTTATTTAAATTATGTCTTTAACATGCTCAAATCGAGTTCTATTTTCAACAAAGGCATAATGATGTCCTTCATATTACCCTTGATGGATTTTCTAAGGAAGACTATTTCTATGAAAAATGCCACTTATGGTGATTGCAATAAAAATATGTGAATGGGCATTAGTTCGTTCGTTCTCACTCACATATCAAGTATAGGCGTCCACCCACTCTTTATAAATGCCTAGTAGATAGGAGATCTCAAGATTGAATTCACGCTTGAGTAAAAGATACAACAACCTCTTGCTTGTTTGATCATAATGCTAAGGGATCCATGTCAATTAAAGATTGATGAAATTTATAACCAACATATAAGGTCGACTTTTAAGATGGAACCCCAAGCCCAAAAATATAACATAATCAGTCTTGAGCTTGGCTCGAGTTTGGAAATGTACTTATATCAAATGTCTAACACGTACGATTTTCATAAATGAATAACGACTCTTGACGGTTAAATATGTGGATGCAATCCAATACACGATGACAATTTGAAAAGATAAATGTTGAAGGATTTGTCATAATAAGTGCTGAAGATCATTCAAGAAAAGATGTCCTCCATCTTTATCCCTGCAAATTCACCTTTATCAAAATTTTGATTGCCATTGGATTTGGAATTGGATGGATCTATCTTCACGGAAAATAAGTATTAGAAAATTTAGCTTATAAAATCTGTCCTTTTTATTATCAACGATCATCATTGTTGTTATTTAATCATCATTTTGGTTTAACGAGAGCATGTTCGATATACATTATTGGACAAGAACACTATGATATACAAGGTTTTAGCTTATTTTTTTCCTTAAAATCATTCAACACTATTTAATCTTTCCGTGTTTAGAGATGTACATTGAGGTTGATAGGGTGTTAAATGTTTTTTGGTGTGTGTAGCACAAGCAAATGAGGGAAAGAAAGTATCTATCAGACTTTGCTTTTGGTTGTAAATGCGAGAAGAAACTTGTAACCATTTTTTTAATACTCAGATTNTTAATTCTAATAGAAAATAGCAACTAAAATTATTAGTCTAAATCTAATGAATAGTGGCAATAAAAATAAATTATCAAAAAAAAATAAATAAATTTAACGAGTAGTAAACGAGGCAAGGACCCCGTCTCGTCCCGTCCCGTCCCGCCTTGCCTTAAATGGGTAATGGGGCGGAGAATTTCTTAGCGAGGCGGGGGGCAGGGAGGGCCTCCCCGCCCCGTTGTCATCCCTAATTTCACTTTGGTTACTACTTACTCGCTCAGAATGAAAAGTTACCAATTACTCACCCACTTTTAAACAAAGTTACTCATCCATCACTCATTTAAAATCAATCCATCCACATGGACAAAAAAACCCAGGTGGCAGATGAAAATCATACGTGGACATAACAATGTTAAATATGTTGACAGCATGGACCAAAATCAATTAAATTAAAATAGTTTTTTCTTCCAAAATTTTCATAGCATTTTTCCTCAAAGCACGTTGCAATTCTCTCGAGTCCAAATCGATTTCATCTCCATAACATTATTCAATTCTTCCCTACATCAAACCCAAACCATTTCCATCCCGGTATAAACCCAAAATCAAGGAACGATTGCATATTAAACTCCAATTTGAGAAATCCCCAAACCCATATGAACCCTAAATTCTTTACCCACAATTGTTGACTTTGAATGTATATTATAATATAAAAAAAATAAAAATAAAAAATCGATTGCTCCGCACAATGCGGAGCATCAACTACGCAGTGCGGAGCAATCGATTTTTTTAAAATTTTTAACTAGCAATTTAAAGAAGCATTCCAGTAGTAAACCAAGAAGCATATTTTCATTCAACTGATGTACAAAAATAGCAATTCAAATCATGATTATATAGATCATTGTTTTGTCTTCGTTACCAAAATTACACCGGATCATTGTTTCTTGTCTTCGTGACCAAATTTACATCCATTAAACAAAATGAAAAAACTATTGAGTTGTTGAATTTTTTCTTATTCTTAGAGGCGCAAATGGAACCGACCCTCGAACAATCCTTCTATTTTTGGCTATGGCTGCCCTCTTCCTTTCTTTTTCTTGGTTCTCTATCTCTTACAAGTCTTCCACCATGGATTTAAGTGGAGATTCCCCCATTGTTGAATTGGCTGGCTCATTAAGTGGAGGACCATAGTTGGTAAATTGCACACCACTAGTTAAATAAATTCCAGGTGTTGGCATGAAAAGGAAATTATGTGATTGTTTTGGTGGTTGCATTTCAGACGGAGGCATCCCCGATTGCCTCCTAGGCACGAGTTTTTCCTGTCACAGTGTCATGACATCATATATGTAGTCAAAAATTTATTTGGCCAAATTCACTTATAGTATGATATTGCAATATATGTAATTACCCTTGATCTTTCACTCCCCACTTGCCTTAAGCTTCCTTCATATGTATGATCTACAGCCCCACAAGACAAATCCTAGCAAGAGAATATAAACCGATGCACATTAGATCATATAGTATGCTAAAAAATTAGAAAACATAATTCATAGCACATCTGTAAACTAACCTCATGTGGTGCATCAACCTTTTGATGATACCTCTTGTTGTGGCATGTCCCCCCGCACAAACTACAAGTAATCACCATGGTACCCTTCTTGTTCAACTTTGCTTTGGACCCCAAACGGGTTATAACATCTTCTTCTGCCAGTCTTCGTCTCTTCTTCTATTTTCTTCCTCTTTTAGTCACAAACCATTCTGGTGGCTTGATTGGAAGGGCATCCACTCGAGGCTATAATTTTACCCCGTTGATAGGGTTTATAATATTCTCATAACAGCTCATATATGTACTCACTCTATAACGCTCATGCACATACTTCCATGGCTCATCCCTTCTGTCTATAATGATAGCAACTGCATGAGCACAAGAAATTCTAGTTAAATCCCATCTCCTACATGCACATGTTTTGTTCATTAGATCAACAACATATTCCCCACTAGAACATGTTTCATATGACTCTACCCCTCCAGACCAATCCACCTCACATGGCTCTGCTATTTCAATATTTGACATACGTTTCTTTTGAGCTTTAGGACATAAAGGTCCTACTACTCTTTTCATCTTGTCCCTTCTTGCTTGTATCCTCTTCAAGAAGCTTATGTGCAAATCAATCAAAATTGTTAATATGGACTTTACCTTTCTTCTAATACAACATTATTGAAGACTTCACATAGATTATTTAAAAGAATGTCACTCTTAACCTTTGTCAGAAAATAAACCTTACTCCATTCACTTGGATGCCTTTTTTTTAACCAATTATATGCTGCACCACTTTCTTTCTCCATCTCACCCATCCAAAACATCCATTCGGGCACTATTGTCGACTTTGAGGCCTTCCATAAGTATTCCTTAGGAATCAAACCTTTAAAATCGGTTCTAAAGAAATTGTTGTACGAGTGTCTAACACAAAATCGATGCTATGCTTCGGGATACAAATCGTCTATCAAATTCTATAAACCCTTTTGCTTATCTGTCATAAATGTCCATTCATTGCTTTTCATTATCTTCAAATCTTCACCCAAATGTTGAATAGACCACCTCTAGGTAGTAGCATTCTCTCACTCAACTATAGCATATGCTACTGGGTAAATACAGTCATTAGCATCTAATGCCACTGCCACAAGCATCTTCCCTCCGAATGTCCCTTTTAAGAAACATCCATCCAACCATTTATATATGGCGAATTTAGGGAGCATATGGGTCCCTCATTTATATATAGACAGCATGAAGTCATGAAAATGTATGAATTCAAAAATGTTTTAAAGTGTTACCTCCTTGATGTCCCATCTCCAACATTACTTCTTCAGTAATAAAGTTGTCTGTCATTTGTGGGGATTGTAGAGAAATTTAGGGTTCATATGTGTTTGGGGACTTCTCAAATTGGAGTTTAATATGCAATCGTTCCTTGATTTGGGGTTTATACTGGGATTGAAATGGTTTGTGTTTGATGTAGGGAAGAATTGAATAATGTTACAGAGATGAAATCGATTTGGATTCGAGAGAATTGCATCGCGCTTTAAGGAAAAACGCTATGGAAATTTTGGAAGAAAAAACTATTTTAGTTTAATTGATTTTGGTCCACGCTGTCAACATATTTAACAATGTTACGTCCACGTATGATTTTCATTTGCCACATGAGTTTTTTTGTCCATGTGGATGGATGGATTTTAAATGAGTGATGGATGGGTAACTCGTTTAAAAGTGGGTGAGGAATCGACAGCTTTTCATTTCTAAGTGAGTAAGTAGTAACCAAAGTGAAATGTCAGTGATTGATTATTTAATTAACTCGCTAACCAGTCCAAATTTTGAAGTTGAAGACATTTCACTTGAAGGCGATACCTCGACCTCCTTGGTTCTCCGGAAAATAAATTGAGGAAAACGCGAACATGATTTGGATTGCCAAATTTGATGAGGAAGTTGATTAGCAAAACCATTTGAGGTTGCAATCGGGTCGGCGATCAAGTGTTGGCGACTAGTCCATAGACTGCCAACGGAGGAGTGGCAGCGGAGGTGGATTTTAAGGGCGCCATCTTTTATGGCGGCCGACACGGCTTTCCTGCTCCAACGTGGCAGCGGAGAAAGGAATTTGTGTATTTTTTGAGGCCGAAATGGCGGACTGTAAGTGGTGATTGGTCGAACTATTTGACCAAAAATAGCGCGACAGCGGATAGCTAGTGATGCAACAGCATCATTCCATGCTATATACAAATTTCAAAAATAATTGTAAAAATATATTATTAAAAGGTCCTTGTTTGATTTAGCTTAAAATAAGATTTTTAATAAATTTTGATAAAAGTTGTAAGGTGCATTGTTGAAAAGTTGTCGATCAAAGTTTTGAATCCCAAATGTGTAATTAAAATTAATTATTGGATAAATTTTTAATTTTTATCAACTTTTTAGTTAAATTTAATATGGTAGAAGTATTAGAATTCGGAAAGACTAATGATGCACATAAAATTTTAGTATTAAAACATATTTTTGAAATGTTTATAAACTAATTAGATTATTAATAAATAGAAATAAGAGAAGGATAAATGAGTAATATTGTGGATCTCACGAAATAAATATATGAATAAAAAATAATTTCATCGATTAGCCAAGCATGCCTTATTTTTCTCACTTTTGAGAATTACACAGTATATGTTTTAAATTTTTTGGTTAATTTTTCGGGCCTTTCGTTTTTTACTCATCTGCCATTGATGCCCTCCCTAACAAATTCTCGGCCTCAAGCCGCTTTGTTGGGTTGGAATCCATGCTATTATTTGCTCTTAGGTTGTAGTTGTTTTTGAATTATCTCTTTATTTATGAGAGAAGTGTTGGGAAATTTCACACCAAAATTTTCTTTAGTTCTAATAAATTTTCATTAGTTCTAATAGAAAATAGCAACTAAAATTATTTGTCTAAAATATAATGAATATGGACAATAAAAATAAATTATCAAAAACTAAAAAAAAAAATAAAAAAATTAACGGGTAGTAAACGGGGCAAGGCCCCCCGCCCCGCCTTGCCTTAAATGGGTAATAGGGTGGAGAATTTCTTAACGAGGCGGGGTTGGAAGGGGGGCAGGGAGGGCCACCCCGCTCCGTTGTCATCCCTAATTTCACTTTGGTTACTACTTACTCACTCAGAAATGAAAAATTACCGATTACTCACCCACTTTTAAACAAAGTTACTCATTCATCACTCATTTAAAATCAATCTATCCACATGGACAAAAAAACCCATGTGGCAGACGAAAAAATCATACGCGGACATAACAGTGTTAAATAGTTTTTTCTTCCAAAATTTTCATAGTGTTTTTCCTCAAAGCATGATGCAATTCTCTGGAGTCCAAATCGATTTCATCTCCATAACATTATTCAATTCTTCCCTACATCAAACCCAAACCATTTCCATCCCAGTATAAACCCAAAATCAAGGAACGATTGCATATTAAACTCCAATTTGAGAAATCTCCAAATCCATATGAACCCTAAATTCTTTACCCACAATTGTTGACTTTGAATTTATATTATAATATATAAAAAAAAAATCAATTTCTCCGCACACTGCGGAGCATCAACTACGCAGGTGTGCGGAGCAATCGATTTTTTTTTTTAATTTTTAAATAGCAATTTAAAGAAGCATTCCAGTAGTAAACCAATAAGCATATTTTCATTCAACTGATGTACAAAAATAGCAATTCAAATCATGATTACATAGATCATTGTTTTGTCTTCGTTACCAAAATTACATCGGATCATTGTTTCTTGTCTTCATGACCAAATTTACATCCGTTAAACAAAATGAAAATACTATTGATTGTTGAATTTTTTCTTATTCTTAGAGGCACAAATGGAACTGACCCTCGAACAATCCTTCTATTTTTGGCTACGGTTGCCCTCTTCCTTTCTTTTTCTTGGTTTTCTCTCTCTTGCAAGTCTTCCACCATGGATTTAAGTGGAGATTCCCCCATTGTTGAACTGGCTGGCTCATTAAGTGGAGGACCATAGTTGGTAAATTGCGCACCACTAGTTAAATAAATTCCAGGTGTTGGCATGAAAAGGAAATTATATGATTGTTCTAGTGGTTGCATTTCAGATGGAGGCATCCCCGATTGCCTCCTAGGCACGAGTTTTTCCTGTCACAGTGTCATGACATCACATATGTAGTCAAAAATTTATTTGGCCAGATTCACTTATAGTATGATATTGCAATAGATGTAATTACCCTTGATCTTTCACTCCCCACTTGCCTTAAGCTTCCTTCATATGTATGATCTACAGCCCCACAAGACAAATCCTAGCAAGAGAATATAAACTGATGCACATTAGATCATATAGTATGCTAAAAATTAGAAAACGTAATTCATAGCACATCTGTAAACTAACCTCATGTGGTGCATCAACCTTTTGATGATACCTCTTGTTGTGGCATGTCCCTTCACACAAACTACAAGTAATCACCATGGTACCCTTCTTGTTCAACTTTGCTTTGGACCCCAAATGGGTTATAACTTCTTCTTCTGCTTGTCTTCGTCTCTTCTTCTGTTTTCTTCCTCTTTTAGGCACAAACCATTCTGGTGGCTTGATTGGAGGGGCATCCACTTGAGGCCATAATTTTACCCCATTGATAGGGTTTATAATATTCTCATAACAGCTCATATATGTACTCACTCTATAACACTCATGCACATACTTCCATGGCTCATTCCTTCTGTCTATAATGACATCAATTGCATGGGTACAAAAAATTCTAATCAAATCCCATCTCCTACATGCACATGTTTTGTTCATTAGATCAACAACATATTCCCCACTAGAACATTTCATATATGACTGTGCCCCTCCAGACCAATCCACCTCACATGGCTCTGCTATTTCAATATTTGACATAAGTTTCTTTTGAGCTTTAGGACATAAAGGTCCTACTACTCTTCTCATCTTGTCCAATTTTGCTTGTATCCTCTTCAAGAAGCTTATATGCAAATCAATCAAAATTGTTAATGTGGATTTTTCCCTTTCTTCTAATACAACATTATTGAAGACTTCACGTAGATTATTTAAAAGAATGTCACTCTTAACCTTGGTCAGAAAACAAACTTTACTCCATTCACTTGGATGCCTTTTTTTTTTAACCAATTATACGATGCACCACTTTCTTTCTCCATCTCACAGATCCAAAACATCCATTCGAGCACTGTTGTCGACTTTGAGGCCTTCCATAAGTATTCCTTAAGAATCAAACCTTTAAAATCGGTTCTAAAGAAATTGTTGTACGTGTGTCTAACATAAAATCGGTGCTCTGCTTCGGGATATAAATCGTCTATCACATTCTGTAAACCCTTTTGCTTATCTGTCATAAATGTCCATTCATTGTTATTCATTATCTTCACCCAAATGTTGAATAAACTACCTCTAGGTAGTAGCATTCTCTCACTCAACTATAGCATATGCTACTGGGTAAATACAATCATTAGCATCTAATGCCACTGCCACAAGCATCTGCCCTCCAAACGTCCCTTTTAAGAAACATCCATCCAACCATTTAATATGGCGAATTTAGGGTCCCTCATATAGACAACATATGGCGAATTTAGGGAGCATATGGGCCCCTTATTTATATATAGACAGCATGAAGTCATGAAAATGTATGAATTCAAAAATGTTTTAAAGTGTTATCTCCTTGCGGTCCCATCTCCAACATTACTTCTTCAATAATAAGGTTGTCTGTCATTTGTGGGGATTGTAGAGAAATTTAGGGTTCATATGGGTTTGGGGATTTCTCAAATTGGAGTTTAATATGTAGCCATTCCTTGATTTAGGGTGTATGCTGGGATTGAAATGGTTTGGGTTTGATGTAGGGAAGAATTGAATAATGTTACGGAGATTAAATCGATTTGGATTCGAGAGAATTGTATCGTGCTTTAAGGAAAAACGCTATGGAAATTTTGGAAGAAAAAACTATTTTAATTTAATTGATTTTGGTCCACACTATCAACATATTTAACACTAACGCCCACGTATGATTTTCATCTGTCACGTGAGTTTTTTTGTTCACGTGGATGGATGGATTTTAAATGAGTGATGAATGGATAACTTTGTTTAAAAGTGGGTGAGTAATCGGCAACTTTTCATTTCTAAATGAGTAAGTAGTAACCAAAGTGAAATGTCAGTGATTGATTATTTAATTAACTCCCTGACCAGTCCAAATTTTGAAGTTGAAGACATTTCACTGCGATACCTCAACCTCCTTGCTTCTCTGGAAAATAAATTGAGGAAAACGCGAACATGATTTGGATTGCCAAAGTTGATGAGGAAGTTGATTAGCAAAACCATTTGAGCTTGCAATCGGGTCGGCGATCTAGTGTTGGCGACTATGGACTGCGAACAGAAGAGTGGCGGCGAAGGTGGATTTTAAGGCCGCCATCTTTTACGACGGCCGACACGGCTTTCCTACTCCAACATGGCATCGGAGAAAGGAATTTGTGTATTTTTTGAGGCCGAAATGGCGGACTGTAAGTGGTGATTGGTCGAACTATTTGACCAAAAATAGCTCGACAGCGAACAGTTAGTGATGCAACAGCATCATTCCATGCTATATACAAATTTCAAAAATAATTGTAAAAATATATTATTAAAAGGTATTTAGCTTAAAATAAGATTTTTAATAAATTTTGATAAAAGTTGTAAGATGCATTGTTGAAAAGTTGTCGATCAAAGTTGTGAATCCCAAATGTGTAATTAAAATTAATTATTGGTTAAATTTTTAATTTTTATCAACTTTTTAGTTAAATTTAATATGGTAGAAGTATTAGAATTCGGAAAGATTAATGATGCACATAAAATTTTAGTATTAAAACATATTTGTGAAATGTTTATAAACTAATTAGATTATAAATAAATAGAAATAAGAGAAGGATAAATGAGTAATATTGTGAATCTCACGAAATAAATATATAAATAAAAAATAATTTCATCGATTAGCCAAGCATGCCTTATTTTTCACACTTTTGAGAATTACATAGTATATGTCTTTAACTTTTTTGGTTAATTTTTCGGGCCTTTCGTTTTTTACCCTTCATCTGCCATTGATGCCCTCCCTAACTCGCTTTGTTGGGTTGGAATCCATGCTATTATTTGCTCTTAGGTTGTAGTTGTTTTTGAATTATCTCTTTATTTATGAGAGAAGTTGACTTGACTTTCTGTGTGAAAGAAAAAACTTTAGACAAATTTGAGTCCTGACCCCGTTTGACTGCTTGACTTTGCCAGGAAGCTGAAGAGGCTTCCCTCCACAAAGTAGAAAGGGAACTGCAGATTGGTGGTGAGAGCTTCTATAAAATCTATTGAGAATATTCTTTGATAATTAAACAGCAACTCACATTGCCTCTAATCTGGTTTTCCATGAGCAAACCCGTTGAATAACAATCAAAAAAATCTGTCTATTCTATATTCATTAATATTATGTAACAGAGGTACCGTGAGTTAAAATGTTAATGAAACAAAGACAATAACATAATTTGTCGTTCGCATTATTGGAACAGCTTCACGTCATAATTCAGCTAATTGAATGCATTAAAAAATCCATGTCTAAACAGACGAGGAATGAAAGCAAAGAGAAACAACGCCATTAGCAAAGAAGCTAAAGAAAGAATGTTAGCACGAGAAAACTTGTTTCTGTAACAAACATATTACACCAAGCAATTATTCGATGTAGAAAGTTCTCACAGCTCCCCAATGGTGTTTTATGTTTGAAACTCCAAGAGAACATTTGGAGGTGTCGTTCTGAACCTCACACTTCAACCGTTCCACTCGTCCTCTCCTCTTCTTCAGCTTTAAGCCAAGCAGCCTACATAAGATATTTATATTATTACTAATGTACAGAAAAAAAAAAGTGAGTGCAAGCAAATGTAAATCATGTCTCTGAATGGCTGGCTTAATGCATTAATAACTTAGAAATACTTGTGGTCATTGTACCTTTAGCGATATTTCATGTTAGTCATTGAACTGAACTCAAATTCTGTTTCAAATTGGTTATCATTGAACCAACATTTTTCTTACAATTTGGTCATGTGTTTATGTCTGTTTGTTTGGCTAACTTGAAAGCTAATGTAGCAAACTAGCGTCAAAGTTTAAGTTAGGCAACCAATTCGAAACAAAGTTTTGAGTTTTGTGGTTTCACTAAAATTTTAGTGACCCCTGACCGCCAGCTTATTTAAACCCAAAGCAAAAGCATGAGAACTGATGCATTATGTCATATAGATCAAGTAAAAAAGGTACTTGCCTTGTCTCTTTCAAGCCTGGAGACGTGAGGGCGCATAGAGTTTCCTAAGCTCAGGCCTCCCCATGCTTTTTGCAACTCTCTCTCTCGAGCCTGTTGACGAGAAACTGAATTTCTGATTTGATCATCAATACCATCCTTGTCTCTTTCGAGTCTGGAGACGTGAGGGCGCATAGAGTTCCCTAAGCTCAAGCCTCCCCATGCTTCCTGCAACTCTCTCTCCCGAGCCTGTCGACGAGAAACTGAATGTGAGATTTGATCATCGACATTGTCGATACCATCCTTATCTCTTTCGAGTCTGGATACATGAGGGCGCATAGAATTCCCTAAGCTCAAGCCTCCCCATGCTTCCTGCAACTCTCTCTCCCGAGCCTGTCGACGAGAAACTGAATGTGTGATTTGATCATCCATATTGTCGACACTATCCTTATCTCTTTCGAGTCTGGAGACATGAGGACGCATAGAGTTCCCTAGGCTCAAGCCTCCCCATGCGTCCTGTAACTCTCTCTCCCGAGCCTGTCGACGAGAAACTGAATGTGTGATTTGATCATCTACACTGTATTGCTCAGCAGCAGCCATCTTTTCCCTCTCAAGTCTTGACTTGTGCTTGACTAAAATTTGGTCCAAACTGCCTTCACTACAATCCGTCTCTCTATTGGTGTTTCTTCTCTTCAATTTCATCCCGGTTTGTTCCTCTTCATATAGTCCCATCTTCTCCTTTTCCAGTCTCGTGACATGTTTTACTAGAACCTTGTCTAAACTTTCATAATCTGTGGCACCATTCCCTCCCTGTTTACTTTGGTTAAGTTTCATATTTTCTTTTCCTACTAAATCTCCATCAGTACAAGTTGAAATCACTTCCAAATCTGTTGCACGGACTGAAGTGACGCTTTTGCTCGAATCAGTAATGCTGCAAATTTCACTCAGTTCAATACTTTTTGTGTTTCTTGCCTCCTGGACCTCCCTTTCGAGTCTTGACAAATGTTTCACCAGATACTTATCAAGACCAGGAACCTCTGTAGTTTCATTTACATTTTTAGAATGGCCAATTGTCATTGTACTCACTCTCTCCAAATTCTTGCCACTCATACCAGATACTTTACTTTTCTTTATCCTCCCCTCTTCAATCTCCTTCTCAAGCTTTGAAGAATGTTTCACTAATATACTTCCCAAGTCAGGAACATTAGTGCCCTCTAATGTTTTTTTCTCAATCATTGAAGAAGGTTTCTGAAGAGTGCTCTCCGAGTTGGAATCTTTAGTGCCCTCTAATGTTTTTTTCTCAATCATTGAAGAAGGTTTCTGAAGAGTGCTCTGCGAGTTGGAATCTTTTTCATGCAAACTCGTATTCTCAACAATAGAAAGTTTTTCATCATCGGATTTACTATTGACCACTTGTTCACTTCCAACCAGAACTTTGTTCGACTCAACCCTTTTGGCTTCTAGTAGCTCTCTTTCAAGTCTCGTCAGACGCTTTACCAGAAATTTGTCGAGGCTAGGAAGTTCAGGCTCAGTCTTTTCCTCAACCTTGGAAGAATCTTTCTGACTTGAACTTGTATTACTAACAAGAGAGAGCTTTTCATAGTCCGAATTGCTATCTAAATCTCGTTCACTTCCGTCAGCAGCTTTATTTGCCCCTGCCTTTTTGGCTTCTAGTAGCTCTCTTTCAAGTCTCGTCAAGCGCTTCACTAGAAACTTGTCGAGGCTAGGAAGTTCAGCCTCGGCTGCCCTTCTCATCTGCCCATCTAGATCTGTGTTCCATGAAGTCCTCCGTCCATCGGAAATTCTGCTCAAGGCATCAGAAGTCGGCTTCCCAACGTCATCAACAGAAGAGTTAAAAGCACACTCCTTTCTGTTTTCTGCTTCCACTAAAGCCTCATTTAGCCCTGAAGTTGCAACTATAGTGGCCAGAGAGGCAAGTTCATCTTCCTTCAAGCATCTAAGCCTATCCAGCATTATCTCAACTAGATTAGTCATGCTAAATTTGTCAAGAACCTGTCTCCTCTTGTATTTACTTTTTCTTTCTGCAGCAAATTCCTTATCACAACTTACATCCTGAGAATTAGAACTGTCAGATTCACATCCTGTAGAAAAATCTGACAATTCATGATAATTTTCACCAGTATCCGGAGTCTCACTGATTTTGCGCAACAACTCTCTAAATTCTCCTCTGTTTATCGAAGGGCAATTTGCTAGCTTAATAAAAGCCGCTTTAACTGCAGCAGCTACTTGTTTATCCACCTCAAATGCAGTTTCAAAACTTGCCGATATTGTATGAGAGGTAGACTCTTCTCCTTTCACAGTTTCCATTTTGTAACGTTTTTGTGCATGTTCTGGTATATCATTCATGATTACACCGATGGCTGTTGCAGCTTCAAAAGCTTCAGCTGCATATTTTTCTGCTTTTGACAGCTCTGTTTCTGCATCTTTACTTTCAATCCTATTAAAGAGAAAATAAGTCTGCTGTAAAAGAAAAATGATATATCTCAATCAAACTTTTAGTCCAAAAGAATACGAGTAGTACCTGGCTGCTTTAAGTATATGACACCAAGATGCTTCCACCTTTGCAGCCTTTTGAGCTTCCATTGCTTTCTCTGCAGCTTCTCTTACTGCAATTTTTTCTCTCAGAACTCTGGAGTAGTGTGGATTTGAATCCCCAAGAGTCTCATCAAGAGTTGAATTCATTCCATCTACTTCCTGCGTTATGTGCAAGTGTCAAACCTTTTGATAAAGCAAAAACGTTGTTGACAAAAGAAAAGCATGCATAGATAGCACTACCTGTAGCGATTTTATTTTCCTATTCAAATAATCCACCTTTTTGCGCGGGAACCAATTAAGAGGTGAAGTTTTTCGTTTTGGAGGCTTTGTAATTTGTGATGTAAGTTTGTTTAAAGCACTCAAACTTGACTGGAGAACATCTTTTGATCCCTTGTTCTGCATTATACAGAAGCACAAAAAAATGAGAGAGAAAGAAAGAAGAAAATTTATTCTAATGCTTGATGAGAATATCATAGTTATGAGAACAATAAAAGAAAACCAAATTCAGCGTGGAAACTAATAAATTCAATCTGTTTCAAGAAAAAGAACAACAACTTCGTTCTCTTCTTTACGATCTATCTCAATTACTGCAAAATGTGCAACCATAAGATGCCAATATTGGGTTTTAGTTATTCACTTTGACATCTTTTGATCTATGCTTCGACATAACAATTACATTTTAGAAGGATAAAATGAATGGAAAACTTGTATAACATGTCATTAAATTGACTTGATGAGTTCATTTTAAAGAACTGTGCCACACATTACCAGATCTTTACAATTACAATACACTATTCAACATTCATCTTTAAAAACAAGATAAAAAGGTCTACGTATAAATGCATTGCCATTCTTATGTCATACCAATAAACATCTAAATCACAAAACTTCACTATGCAGATGAACTTAAAACAATAAAACTGGTGTAATTGTAGCAGAGATATGAAATGCTGATTTACCCAAATATATTCATCTTTAAAAACAAGATAAAAAGGTCTACGTATAAATGCATTGCCATTCTTATGTCATACCAATAAACATCTAAATCACAAAACTTCACTATGCAGATGAACTTAAAACAATAAAACTGGTGTAATTGTAGCAGAGATATGAAATGCTGATTTACCCAAATATATTCAAAAAAGCACCTCCCTTTCTATTCTCCCACCCCATATTACATGAAAATTTGTTTATATCATGAAAAACTCTTTTATTTTGTTGTTTTATTTTTGTACCAGACTATCACTCAAGATACATGCACGACAGCACGACTTGACCAATGGACAAGATTTTAGCTTTTTTTTTCGTTTCTTAACAATGTACATTGTAGTCCTCCTTACCCAAGGTGCCAAAATAAGCTACACAATAAATTGAGAATTCCCATTTCTTATACCTCAGAAGACTAATCAGGCAGACCATTTTCTAAATCTTGAAAGCGAAACATAATTCAAGTGTAAAACTCACAAATTACATATAATTAAACCTACTATATCGAAAACCTAAAACATCATCAATAAACCATTGAGAAAGATTGAAATGAAATACATAATTCATTTCAAGAAACCAAAAAGAGTACCTTCCCTGGCTTGGAAGAAGACATCCCAGACTCCTTTGGACTGTTCTCCTTGTCTAGAAAAGTCTCCTTTTTTTGCTTTTCAATGCAACCCATATCAATACATCCAAGATCCATTTTCCAATTTCCAATATCAATAAAATCAACAAAAGAATTTAACTTTTGAACAGACTGTTTTCCAAGGAATTGGCAACGCCCTAAACAAAAATCCCACAACAATTACTTGAATTTGCGCAAATTTGAATAATCAGTTAGAGTAAGAATTGGTGAGTAGAATGAGAGATTTTGCGATTGTATATAGATATTTGGATAAAGAAAACTCTGGTGATTTGGTTCTTTAATATGGAAGTATTTTTTTCCTTTTAAAAAATAAACTATCCGTTGCCGGGGGTTTTATGTTTGTAACGGTCATTTTTCGTTCCAGCGAAGAAAATCTTTATTAATTATGTCAAGATAATTTTTCTTCCAGTTTAAAAATTGAAAAAAATATATTTAGTTTACATATATTTAAATTATTTCGCTAAAAATACAGCTATTCATGCATCACGTTTTGGTACTTGAAAACAATTATAGGTGCAAAATTTCGGAGAGAATTGTCATTCGATTGAAATAAGGCAACAAGTCGCAACAAGGAAAGAGAAGCTCGTTACATTTTAATAGTTCATTTTTTCTTTTATGACCAATCGATACAACAGAATATTCAAGTCTTTTCATTCATGATGATTAGCTAAAATTTTTATATCAATCAAGAAGTGCCATAGTTGATCTCTCGTCTAACTAGTGATGGCAAAAAAATCCGCCCCGCCCTGCCCCGGAGTCGCCCCGCCCCGACCCGAATGGGGCGAAAAAAACTCCGTCCTGACGGGTTGGTGGGGCAAGGCGGGGAGGGGGTGCCCCGCCCCGAAGCGCCCCAAACCCGCCCAGTGAAAAATAAAAAAATAATAATTAATTACAAATTAAAAACAAAAAATAGTTAAATGGAAGTTTTTGAAAAAACAAAAAATAAACGGGGCAAGCCCGCGCCCCGAACCCGCCCCGCCTAAGGTGGGGCGGGGCACGAGGCGGGACTCGGTGGGGGAGTGGCGGGGTGGGGCGGCGGTGCCCCGCCCCGAACCCGCCCCATTGCCATCTCTACGTCTAACTATCTTAAAGAATTTTTATTTTATTTTAGAGTCGATTATTATTTTTTCCCCCATAAAGGCGGTGCCCATCCTTCATTTATTTATATCTTGTGCCATTGTAGGCATTTATTGAGGGAGACCTCATCGTCATCACTCGACATATTTATATATTTTGACTTAAAGCAAATGACTTTATATGTTGTAGTTTCAAAATATATTTAATCAAAATTATTTATTATCTATAGTAATGTATATTACATAAATGAAAAACCAAGAAAAATGGATTTTTTGGGAGGTAGTATATTACAAAAAGGTCTAGTCGAATACTTTTGAAAAAAAAAATTAATACTTTTAGTAATATTGATTTTTTTTTCTTTTCTATTTAGTAATGTTTATATGTAAAATAATTTTTACTTATAATGTCGGTGATATTTATGTATAATATGAATATGCCATATAACAATATTTTAACTTAATGAGAGAAAATAAAAAAAAACTAGCCCTATGACTATATTTAGAGAGTTTGCATATATGTTTATTTTTTCGCATATAAAACTTAGCCCTTGTTTGACAAATATTATTTTAAAATTCTTTTCTACATAATCATTTTTAATCATATATTCACATAATAAAATATTTTGTACTTAAATTCAAAATTTTTCCTATTTTTTAACTACATATTCTCTAAAAAAAATGATTATTCAAAACTTCATTTTACCCGAAAATGATTGTCAAACAGGAGATTAATAAGATTCTATGAGCAGTTATCGACTTAGCATGACCCAAGCCCGTTACTAATACTTAGTAATATTTTATTGAAGCATGTCGGGGGTTGGTACGGGGTTCTTGAACCATTTTCTTGCCAATTCTGACAATGTTTGAGAAAGAATAATTCTAAGGGTCCGTTTGATAACAATGGTGGAAAATGGATGGAAAGAAAACGAATTACAGCGAAAGTAATTGCCTAGAACTTGTTTTCCAGAGAATTGTTAATTGAGGCCCCGTTTGATAGGCGTTATTTTCCAGAGAACTAGGAAAATATTTTCTATTTTTCACTTTTTTGGCTGTTTGATAGGCAAATTTTGCCACGGAAACAATTTTTTTTCCCTTTTTTTTTTTTAACTTTTTCGCAATGGAAACAAATTTTATAATCAATTGTGAAAAAAATTATCAATTTAATAGACACTTTACATGTAAAACAAAGTCAAACGAATAGAAAATTTAAAAATTTTTTGGTGAAAAATTATACCAATCAAACACACTTAATTAACAATTCCTTGCAAAATATTTTATAGATAATTATTTTCTATACAAATCATTTTCTTTTCCACCCTTGCAATCAAACACACCATAAGTATATTTGATTTGTATAATTTTCCACCCAGGAAAATTTTGAAATTTTGGATTTTTTTTTATCACATTTGGCTTTGTTTTATATGGAAATTGTCCATTAAAGTAATAATTTTTTTCCACAATTAGTTATAAAATTTGTTTCCATTTCCAAAAAGAAAAAAAATTCCTAGAAAATCAATTTTCATCAAAATTTAGTGTTCGTTTGACTTTATTTTACATGAAAATTGTCCACTAAAGTGAAATTTTTTTTACAATTGATTATGAAATTTGTTTACATTGTAAAAAAAACAAAAAAACAAAAAGATGGAAATCCATTTTCCCACCAAAAAGGTGGGAAAATGATTTCATGAAATTGGAGAAAAAAGGGCACCAAAAAGGTGAGAAAATGATTTCATGAAATTGGAGGAAAAAGGGCGCGTGAGGTGAGGAGGGAGAAAACAATTGGGTGGGAAAATGCTGTACATCAAACACCACATTTTGTGGAATTCCATTTTCCATGGAAAAAACACTCCATCAAACAAGGCCTAAGTGTAGGTTTTCTTCACATAATTTTTACATATGCTTTGGCAACATGTGTTGTTCAATTTTTATTTTTTGTCATCTTTCAACCAAAAATTGCCAAATACCACTCTCTATAAATTATGTGGACCAAATTCTATAAGTGTAGCAAATTCTTTGAGAAAAGGTCTTGGATTGGGTCGAGGGCATTTTGCATGGGCATCATGTCTGTGCATGTAACAAGGTGATTGATGGGATCCATAATATCATTGAACTATTTTCATGCTAGGAGGCATGAACATATTCGAGAGGGGGTAAGCGAAAATCTCTTGAATGAATGGCACGCTCTTAACGTAACACGTGGAGGCACATGTCGTACATGCGTAAGGCTTAGCCTGCTTCCCTCTCGAGTGATCTGGGTGAGCTGCTCGTACGTTAGGATGACGATCCTATAGTGGCCCCAATGCATCAATTGCAAGTATTCTGAAGGAGGCGCGATACTAAGATCTCTTTGGGACAGAGGCATCGATGATGTTGGGTAAGTTCCTTAGCCCATCAGGGACAACATACTATACCAGATTTTGCATAGGATACGTCGAAGACGACATATGATATGTCAGAGGTGACATGGGATATGCCCGAGGCGGAGCAGGAGACTCATCCCGCTAACTTAAGGCTTGGTGGTTAACATCGTGAAAACGTCTCCGACATTATGGCCACCTGAGGTGCCACTAGTTTTGAAGGGTTTTGGTTGTGTCATACTTGCAAATCTACTAGGGGATCCTCTTGTGCGTCATGATTTTGATGATTGGACCAATGAAGGGTCCCTACTAATGGAGTTTCTTAAGTGTGAATGCCATTGGAGTTTTGAGCAGTACCTTCGAATTTCCTATATATGTTCTCGCAATCTCTCCTATGATTAATTATTAAAAGTAGATGTAGTGTCAGGCTATAAACAGAATAATAAAAAGCTTACCTAAAATAAATTAAATAAATTATTCATGATTATTTAATTGTCTACTTAGAGCATCTTCAATACACTATTTAAACATAAGACGATTTATATTTTAAAGAGTCATTTTTTAAAATTATGTCCAATAGACTCTTTATAATTAAATACATTCAAAATATTTCAATCTTAATAAAAAAATAATAATAATAATTTGGAACTAGTTGTTTATCAAAATTTAGGCCCTGTTTGACAAGGCAGATTTTCTTGGGAAAGAGGAAAATGTATTCCATTTCTAGGCAATTATCCTTGTTTGATGGCAAAAAGTAGGTTGGAATTCTTTTTCTTTGGCCTGACTTCACGCGCCTGAATTCCATTAAATTGAGGAGAATGATTTCCCACCATTTTGGTGGGAAATTCATTTTCCAGGTTCTGGNNCCCCCGCCCCCGCCCCGACCCGACCCGCCCCGCCTTAAATGGGGAGTGGGGCGGGGATGGGGAATGAATTTCTTAACGGGGCGGGGGACGGGGAGGGCATCCCGGCCCCGCCCCGTTGCCATCCCTAAAAAAAATTCTCAAAATTTCAAAGTAAACGCATTTTCCATTTTTCTGTTTTGAGAAATCATTTTTCAAAATGACAAAAAGAACGCATTTTCATCAATTTCAAAACAGACACTCAAAATACAAAATACAAAATGAAATCAAAACTCAAAACAAAAAATTGAAGCACAAAAAGAACATGTTTCCTTGAAAGGAACCTTTCTTTCTCTAAATATCTAGCAAGGTGGCACGTCACGTGAAACTTGTCAAAACGCTGAAAACTGTGAAGTATACGTATCTTTGAACTTCAGAAATAGTTTTGACCATTTGGTTTCCATTCCTGGGAATTTTCCTAGGTATATTTGTGCACTTTCCTTTTCAGCGGTTCTACATTTCCCCAAAGCTACACTGGCAGCCTCTACACGAATCAAAATTGCAATTTCCTCGAACCCATATTCTGTTCTACTTTCTGAATCTTCGAATTATTGAAGAGAAAGGCTGTCGGTTTTCAGTTTTTTTCCCAGTTTAATTGAACTTGTATGACGAGCGCGTCAGAGCTATTCAACAACAGGAGGTCTCGTTTTGGTCGGAGTTCGAATCCTTTGGATCTCCAACCGGAATTCAACTCTCCAACCACTCTAGATCGGAATAATCGC